ATGTATATATATATACATATATAAAGAAAGGTGAGTCATGCCAATGTATGTTTGTATGGAAGAAGTAGCCCTTTGTTTTACTCGGTACCCCAAAAGTAGCTCTCAGTCTCAAAAAGTTTGGTGACCCCTGTTTCAGACAGTTCTTTCAAATGATACTGAACTATTTTCTATGTCGGTTTCCTTTTTGTACAAGACAAAAACTTGGTGTTTGAACAGCCTCTTTCAGTTCAGAGTGGATAAAGGTGTTACCTTGGAGGTGGTGTAGGTGAGCCTCAGGTCAGCAGCTGGGACCTTCAGCAGCCGATGCAGGAGTCCCTTCACCTTCTGAATAACCATGAAGGCTGCAGAAAACAAACAGGAAACAAGACAGGGTGTTTAAAGTTTATTCACCTTCAGCCTAACTAACCTCACTGCGACTTTTTACCTGGAAGTTTCTTCTCTATCGGCTTCCTGTCAGCATCATCAGGAAACACAAATGTGATCTCTGGTGAAAATAGACAACAAATTGTCTTAAGATAACTTGTCACAGTTTGTGCTTTTCCACTGCTAGTACCAGACTGATGTGTATTCAATGACACCACACAGCCTGTGGTGTGTGTTCTGCTGGCAGTAACATCAGTCAAATATCTCAGGAATGCCTGAATAGATTTTATTGAAACTTTTTTAGGTTGCATTGAGGCCCAGGCCCTTCTTGCAAAAGAGATCTGTGATCTCAGTGGGATTTGTCTGGTTAAAGAAAAGTAAGTAAGTCAGTAAGTAAGTAAATAAATAAATAAATAAATACCCCTCTGCAGAATCGCCACCTAACGTGGTGGAGGGGTTTGAGTACCCCCGTGATCCCAGGGGCTATGTTGTCTGGGGCATAAGGCCCTGGTAGGGTCTCTCATGGCAAACAGGCCTCGGGGGAGGGATCAGACGTAGAGTGATTCAGAACCCTTGATGACAAAACACCTCCCACATCAAGAAACCTCGCCCAGGATGGCCTCCGGGAGGGTTGCCTCTCTGGGTCTTTGTGCTGCAGGAAGGAAGGTTCTGACTGTTGTTTGTGCTTACGCACCAAACATCAGTTCAGATTACCCAACCTTTTTGGAGTCTTTGGATGCTGTCCTGGAAGGGGTACCATCTGGAGACTCCCTTGTTCTGCTGGGTGACTTCAATGCCCATGTGGGCAACGATGGAGTTATCTGGAAGGGGATGATAGGGAGGCCGTTCCTCCCTGATTCTGAACGTAATGGTTTTCTGTTATTGGACTTCCAAGCTAAGCACGGTTGTCCATAACAAACACCATGTTTGAGCATTGGGTGGTCCATAAGTGTACTTGGTACCAGGCCACCTTAGGCCAAAGGTCGACGATCGATTAAGTACTCATAAATTCTTAGTTGGAATCAATTTTGGTCCTCTTGTATGTCTCTGGATGTGACTGATGTTTTACTGATTTCTCTATTGTGCATCTATCACATTCTAAAGAGCCCGTCATCGTGAAACTTTATTAACATTATTTAAATTTACACACATGAACAAAATTGTTGGTACACCTTGTTTAATTAGAGAAAACCCACAATGGTCACAGAAATAACCTGAATCCAACAAYAATAAATAAAAACTCTATAAAAATGAAGAAATGAATGTCAGACATTGCTCTTCAATCATGCTTCAAAATAATAACAATAAATAAATTAAACTCAAAAACAGGCCTGGACAGAAATGATGGTACCCCTGAATTTTTTTTTTGACCAAAGGGACATATTAAATCAAGGTGAGTCCACTAATTATCATCACAGGTCTCTACAGTCTTGTAATCGGTCAGTGGGCCTGTAAATAGGGCTACACTCACTGTGCTGTTTGCTGACATGGTGTGGACCACACTCAACATGGACCAGAGGAAGTGAAGGAAAGASTTGTCTCAGGAGATTAGAAAGAAAGTTAGCATGTTAAAGGTAAAGGTTATAAGACCATCTCCAAACAGCTTGTTCCTGTGACTACAGTTGAACAATTAAGACATTTAAGATCCATGGGACTGTAGCCAACCTCCCTGGACGTGGCCACAGGAGGAAAATTGATGACAAATCAAAGAGACGGCTAATACAAATAGTAACATAAGAGCCCAGAAAAACTTCTAGAGAGATTAAAGGTGAACTTCAAGCTCAAGGAACATCACTGTCAGATTGCAACATCCATCGTTGTTTGAGCCAAAATGGACTTAATTCAAGATGGCCAAAGGGGAAACCTTTGTTGAWAACAAATCATAAAAAGTCTGACTGGAATTTACCAAACTACTTGTTCTAAAGCCACAAAGCTTCTGGGAGAGAATGTCCTCTGGACAGATGAGACAAAAATGGAACTTTTTGTCAAGGTACATCAGCTCTATGTTCTCAGAGGGAAAAATGAAGCATGAAGAAAAGAACACTGTTCCTACTGTGAAACATGGAGGAGGTCTGTTATGTTCTGGGGCTGCTTTGCTGCATCTGGAATAGGGGGTCTTGAATCTGTGCAGGGTACAATTAAGTCTCAAGACTATCAAGGAATTCTAGAGAGAAATGTGCTGCCCAGTGTCAGAAAGCTTGGTCTCAGCAGCTCATGGGTCTTCAACAGGATAATGACCCAAAACAACCAAAAACACCCAAGAATGGCTCAGTGGAAACATTGGACTATTCTGAAGTGACCTTCTATGATCCTGACCTAAATCCTATTGAGCATCTTTGGAAGGAGCTGAAACATGCTGTCTGGAAAAAACCCTTCAAACCTGAGACAACTGGAGCAGTTTGTTCATGAGGAGTGGAACAGAATACCTGCTGAGAGCTGCAGAAGTCTCACTGACAGTTACAGGAATCATTTGAATGCAGTGGTTGACTCAAAAGACTCTTCATCAAAATATTAAGTTAAGGGCACCATCATTTCTGTCCAGGACTGTTTCATGAGTTTTAGTTTTTTAATTCTATTTAAGCATGGTTAAAAAGCAATGTCGGAATTTAATTTGTTAATTTTCCTAGAATTTGTATTCATCATTATTTTAGTCAGATTCAAGTTATTTCTGTGACAATTGTGTTTTTCTTTCATTAAAGCAGGGGTACCAATAATTTTGTCCACGTGTGTAGTTTTATGCTGACATAATTTTTGTTAAGAGKGGGAACTGAAGGGAAATTTGTGAGCGATTAATTGAATTTTAGATACAGTCTTATATCTTATACTTTGTGACTGAGTTTAGTCATTTACTTTAAAGGAGACCAATTATGGGTCCTAGAAATGTTTATGGTATGTCTGTGGGCTATCCAGACCATGTTCATTCAATTTAATGCACAAAATAATTCTCAGATAATAAAATTTCCCATTTTCTAGTTCTGCTGCTCTGACTTCTGTTCAGAAGAGCTGTTTATGTTAATGAGCTCTGTTGGTAACGCCCTCCAGAATCTGTTGACATTAACTCCGCCCTCCAAAGCCAGCGTTTACGTTAGCATGGCTAATAATAGCAGAAGCTCCGTTGTACAACCATATGAGACCCAGAGGCAGAGTCGTGGTCCCAGCTTCTTTTTTCCTCTCCCTCCTCTGCTCTGRGCTCACTCTGCATGCTGTTACCAGAGCAGGGAGCAGCAGCGGTCAAAATACCTCAGAAACTAGAACAAATAGGCTTTAACAAGGCTTTAATAATCTAAACAATAGAGGTACATGAGAAAACGTGTTCATAATGAATGAAAATAAATAAATAATTAAATTGTGTCTGTGCCGGTCTCAAACCCTGGTCTCCCACTCTCTGGTCCAACACTCTACCCATTGACCTATTGGAGGCTTGTTGTGAAKWGAGCTGCACATTACACAACAACACGGTGACGGCTTTTTATACTGAGGAGGWGGAGCCTCACCCGGGGGTTGCTAGGTAAGGGGCTGAACGCAGGTTCAGGTGGGTTGTCGTACGGCTTGTGACATCACAAAATGACCGAAGTATAAAACTTGTTGTTAATATACATTAAAAATACATTTACTTACAGTAAATATGCCCCTGGGTGCATTTTTTTGGTCCTAGGACTGTTTTTTTAAGAAGTACATACCCAAAGTTGAGTAAAAAAATGTTTAAAAAGTGAATTTTGCATAATAGGTCCCCTTTAACAGTTAGAGAATCAACTAGTCTCAATTTAGTTTTAGTGTTTTTATTCCATACCTCACTTCCTTGTGTAAGAAGTACAGCATAATATCTAGGGTGGGAGTAGGCTCGCTATGAAAGCTTTGTTGGAAGAAACGGCCCATTCTGTGTACATGCAGACAGGGGGCCAACAGCACTATGAAAACCTTTATATGTGTGTACACAAATATATTCAAATCAGAGTACTGGACCAGTTTTCTGCACCTGATTCAAGTCCTGTGAACACTTCCTTACAATTTGGTTCATGCTAAAAAAGGTTACTGACTAAGTCAAAACTGAAAATAGTATTTTAAAAAGAGCTTTGAGAGAATCTTTATTCAAGCTAGAAACGTACATTCTCTGTATTTCATTACGTTGTTTTTATGGACGTTCTCAACACTTTGTGGAGCATCATGGGTGAAAGAAGAATACATGAACAAAAACAAAAAATAATCTGAACGAAAGTAAAACATCTTGAGTAAACCTGTGGAAACTAAAGGGAAGATAAAGAGACAGGACTGACTTAACAGCTGATTCTTCAAGGCAAACGGCTCCGCCTTCTTCAGCTCGCCTTTGTCTGGTGCGCCGTACTCTAAACACAAACACAAAAACACGATTATCATTGTCCTCATACTGGTACTACTGAGCTAGAGATACCTTGGAATGGCCCCTGACAGCACTAGACAAGACTTTATGGCTGCCTGCTTGTTGGGTGTTAGGTCTTGTGTGTGCTGTATGCAGTGTCGTCAGTACAAAGAAAAAGGAAAAAAACACAAAAACAACTTTATTGTACCTAAATAAACATATTATCATACATAATATGAACAAAGAAGACAAGGATATTCTGTGATGAGCCTTCCAACAAGCCTGGTCAAGCAAAATTTGGGGTAAAATGCCCACCTAGCACACTACCACTTTAATGATGTAATGACCTATGCCATAATCATTCCAGCCCAGGGGTCAGCAACTAGGGATACACTGATCCACATATTTTCATTTCCGATTCAATCTGATACTTGAATTTTGTATACTGGCTGATACCGATATCATTCTGATACTTTTCAGAGCTCTGTTTGCTTTATTCTTATTATTATTTGATTTTATTTGGCTGTAATAAATTTCGCTCTCAGTAGGCAACTGCTATGAGCATGTGTCCCAAAAGACAACTWAAGGTAAATATAAGGTCAAAATTCTGATCACTGGACTCTACAGATTGGCTTGGTGGTCTCCTGGTGTTCTACAAAACAGCGTCGGTGGCTTTTCATCTTCTGGCTGACTAACCAATTTGATGGACGGCCGTATATTATCAGCACTCGGACATTAGCCTTGAGCGAGCTAGGCTCAGTCTGCAAGCGGTTCTATTGAGGGTCGTAGGACGGCAGTGGTTCCTGGATTTTGCTGGCCAGATGGAATTGATCTTGGAGAAGCTGATAGCACAGCTCGGCGGACTTGTCCACACTATTTGCCTGATTGAATTTGCCACCTTGAGATGTGCCAGCGGACATTAAAGCAGATGGAAATTGTTATCGTCTGCCTGACTCTTCTGTTCCCAAAACAACTGATTACAAATTCGGCTCTCCCCGACAACGGCCTTGAGCTGTTGARTAAATTCTTCCTGGCTGGATTACGTCGACAAGGCTCTGCCCCACACCTCCTCCCTCTCACACCCATCTGTGATCCGGCTCCTGGAGCAAGCTAAGAGCTGCATAGAATAAACAGTTACCATCAATATTCTGAACTATGGCAGCGCAGGATTTGGGGACTGGATCCTTCGGGCTCATTCTTCAGATATTCATACAAGCATACAACACTCATGGCTTCAGATACACACACCCCTAAACTCACTTACTCCTCTGGCTAATAAATCTGCCCTATAGAGAGGTTTTTTTCATAAACACCATAGTGTGTCACAGTGTTGATATAATATGATGTTTTTGTTTTGTTTTTCCTCATCTTCCCTTGTGTGGTTTTTATTTTTCATTTTAAGGGTAGCGCTTCCTCGTGATGTCTTCATGAAGATGATCCTTGKTCTGTGCTGGGACCTGTGGCTGCATGACCCAGGGCACCTGTTCTCCCATGTTTGTTCTGTCTTCTTCTTAATGGGTGCTCTGAACTGTAATTTCATTGTGCTCTGTACGATGACAATAAAGGTCTCTCTAAAATAGAAAGTCAAATAAACAGGAAATCCTGTTAGCAAGAAAAATGTCACCCAGAGAGCAAATATARAGTCCCCTCCAAAAGTTTTGGAAAAGCAAGTCAAATTCCTTTGTTTTTCTTATACACTAAAGACATTTAGGTTTAAGATCAAAAGATGAAAATGAGACAAGAGTTCAGAATGTCAACTTTTATTTCCTGTATTTATACGAAGATGTTTTAAACAACACAGAACATACCACCCTGTAGTTTGAACCCACCCATTTTTCAAGTAAGCAAAACTATTGGAACATATGACTGACAGGTGTTTATTGACCAGGTGTTGCCTTTAATGTTGATTGTTCAAACATTAAACAGCTCWGCATGACTAGTCTACWTTTGTCCTGGGTTTAAACCTATAAAATAGTTTTGTCTTGTTAAAGAGGATAAACCGACATGAAGAGCAGAGATCTGTCTATGGGAGAAAAGCTGAGAAAAGAAGGAAAATCAATCAGAGCCATTGGACAAACATTGGACATAAAAAGCAAAACAATTTGTAAAGTCCTGAATAAGAAACTACTGGTGTTCTGAGCAACAGACATCCAACAGGTCGACCAAGGAAACTACAGGAGTTCATGACAGAAATATTGTTAAAGCTGTGAATAAAACCCCCAAAACACCAGTGAGTGACATCATTAATGACCTCCACAGTTCAAGGCTGAAGGTATCACAATCTATAGAGGCCAAACACAAAGATACAAACCACTCATCAGTAAGAAGAATCAGAAGGACAGATGATAGAAATTTGTAAAGAAGTACACTGATGAGCRGCATAAGTTCTGGAAGATAATCTTCTGGACTGATGAGACCAAGATTCATCTCCAAGTGATGGGAAGACCAAAGTGTGGAGAAAGAAAGGATCTGTTGATGATRTGAAGCACACAAGCTCCTCAGTGAAGGTGCAGGTGATGTCATGGCTGCTTCTGGAACAGGCTCAGMAATYRTTTTTGATGATATACATATATAATTGATGATGGCAGCAGTAAAATGGATTCTGAAGAGCACAGAAACATTTTGTCAGCCAATTAATGGAGAAATGCATCCAAATTAATCAAGAGAAATTTATCGTGCAGCAGGAAAACGACCCACAGCACACTGTCAAAACAAAAAAACTAAACTAAACAAAGGACTTCATCAGTGGAAAAATGGAAGGTTTTAGACCTGCCAAGTCAACCTGATCTCAACCTAAAAGAGCATTTCACCCCCTGAAGAGGAGACTGAAGGGAGAAACCACCAAAAACAAACAAGAACTGAAAGAAGCTGCGGTTAGCCTGGAATAGCACCACAAAAAAAAGAATGCGAGAGTTTGGTGATGTAGATAAGTCACAAGCTTGAGGTAGTCATTGCTAGCAAGGGTTACATCACCATATATTAAATGTTTTTTACTTTATAATTATTTGTTCCTTTTCTTTTGCTCATCTAAAAATATGTGGTGTAATACAAATGGTGATATATCCTAAGTTGATTAACACATCTACATGAAAATACCAGGAAATAAAAGCTGACATTCWGAACTCTTGTCTCATTCTCATCTTTTGATCTTAAACCCAAATAACTTCAGTGTAAAAACAAAAATAAGGGAATTTGACGAGCTACAGATCATGTGTCCAAGTGCTTGTTGACTCAATGTTTGTTCGCAGACAACTTGGTAAAAAAATGTTTTAATCCTGTCTAAGATGTTGAGGACTTGAAAGTTAARCCCCAATTTTCTCAAGCAGACTTGGATGATCTGCTAATGAGGTTTTACTCTGTCGTCAATGTTGCTTTTTAAAATGTCTATTTTGGAGTTTTAGACCCCTGGAGAAAAAGTCCACGAGCCGCCACTGCAAGTCAGCAGTCTTCCCCATGATTSTGTAGCCTACAGAACTAGACTGAGACCATTTTAAGGCCTTTACAGGTGTTTTGAGTTAATTAGTTGATTGGAGTGTGGCACCAGGTGTCTTAAATATTGAATCTTTTCACAATATTCTAATTTTCTGAGATACTAAATTTGTGGTTTTGATTAGTTGTCAGTTATAATCATCAAAAATAAAAGAAATAAACATTTGAAATATAACAGTCTGTGTGTAATGAATGAACATTATATACATGTTGTTCTGTACATTTTGAATGTAATTACTGAAATGAATAAACTTTTTCAAGATATTCCAATTTTATGACCAGTCTCTGTGTATGCCAGTGGATAAATTAATAAGCAAATAATAATAATGTTAATGGGTTTATTCTATACAGGATATAGAATACAGAAAGCGGTTCTATCAAACAGTATAATAAGTGTTAACAATAACAAATACATGTCCTGATGCATCTCAGTAATCCAGGTAAAAAATCGAAAGGAAAAAAAATTGTATAGGTC